TTTTTATTTAATTTAAGTCTTTAACCTAACAATTAGTATCAAAGCTAGTACTCTATTTTGTAGGTCTAACAACCTAAGAGTGATCTTGAAAATGGCTCAAAAAAGTATGGTGATCAATGTAGAACAACCATCCTCAAGCTACAACAAATATAGTGGGCAACAAGAAATGTGTTTCATGAAAAATGAAACAATTTCTATGTCTCTTGGAGGTGAAGGCCATTTAATTGGAAGACCTCCTATTTTTATTGGCAACAATTACTCGTATTAAAAAACTAGAATGAAATTGTTTATTTAAGCTAATGATTATAAAGTTTGAAGGGTCATTGTAAATAATCTTCAAATTTTAATAAAGATGACAGATGGTAAAAAGGTGGTTAAGCAAGAAAATGAATGGGATGCCAATGATATGTAGATGGCTCAATTCAATACCAAAGTAATGCATACACTCTTTTATGTATTAGGGCCAAGTGAGTACAATAGAGTTTCTTTGTGTGAAAATGCAAAAAAAATTTAAGACAAGTTGGCAATAACTCATGAAAGTACTAATCAAGTGAAAAAAATCAAAATTGACATGCTTACTCATAATTATGAGCTATTCAAGAAGAAATCATTAGTGAAATGTAAAATCACTTCACCTACATCATTAATGATTTGAAGGCACTTGAAAGACTTACTCAAATATTAAGATGGTGAAGAAAAGTCTAAATAATCTACTAAAAAGTTAGAAACCTAAAGTGATAGCCATTGAAGAGTCTAAAGATCCTCACACAGTCTCTTTAGATAAACTTATGAGCTTTCTTCTTACCTATGAGATGAAGCTTAAAAGAGGATAAGAATTAATCAAGAAAGGTGATATTGCTCTTAAATCAACCTTTCAAGAAGATGAAAAAAAATTTGAACAAGATGAGGTTATTGAAGATGAAAAAATAGCCATGTTTGTAGAATGGTTCAAGAAGTTCATGAAGATGAATAAGTTCTTAAATAGAAGAAGACCATAAAGAAAAAGGATAAAAAGAGAACCAAGTACAAAAAAAAGAGATAAATTGTTTGCTATGAATGTAACAAACTGGATAATATCAAATTTGATTGTCCTTTATGGAAGAAGCAAAACATAATAAAGTCAAAGAAGAAAGTAATGGTTGTAATATAGAGTGATAGTGACTTGTTCAATGATAAATCAAATGAGAAAAAAGTAGCTAACCTATGTCTCATGGCTCTTGATGAGCCGAAGGTAATTCTAATCCAAATGATTTAAGTTCATACACATTTGATGAATTGCAAGATGCTTTTGATGAATTAGCTATAGAATTTGAAAGCATGAACATGAAGTATAAGAAAATGATTTTGAAGTTGAAAGTAGAGAATGAGCTTTTGACTAAAGCAAATAATGACTTAGAAAAGGAAATTGAGTTTTTAAAATTGAATGTTAATAATTTGACTAAGAAAAATGAGAATTTGCATAACTCATTTTCTAGATTTTATGTAGGACATAAAAAACTCAATGACATGCTTGAAATATAAAAATCATTCTTTGATAATGATGGATTAAGCTATAATAGTGGTGACAAAGAGACTCATTTGAAAAATTTCCTCATTAAGCCAAATGATTCATCTAGCACATGTACATGTTGTCATAAATTGTGTCATTCTATACAATATTGTTCCTTGAAAAAAGTTATTTATGGAGGTAAACTCATTAGGAGTGTATGGATTCCAAAAAGAGTTAGCACATCTTAAGATGAGATTACTAGGATGAAGTGAATTACAAAAGGTACAAGAATTATAAGTACTAACACTCAAGGACTTAAGAAAGTTTAGGTACCCAAAATGAAATTTTGATTATGTTCTTGTAGGTGGATGAGCATTGCTACAAGATAAATTCAAGCAAGAATAATTCATGGTACCTTGATGGTGGATATTTAAAACACATGATTGGAGACAAGGCCCAATTCAAGGATTTAAAGGCTAAAAGTAGAAGAGATGTTACATTTAGAGACAACTCCAAAGATAAAATTGAAAGGGTTAACTCCATTTGTAACAATTCTTCTACTACTATTGAAAATATTTTACTTGTAAAAGACTCAAGCATAATTTACTTAGTATCAGTCAATTGTGTAACAAAAGACTTAGAGTTGTATTTGAATCCATGTGCTATGAAATGATTGATATCAAGACTAACAAACTTGTTTTTATTGGACATCATCAAGGAAATGTTTATATGGTGATTTGAATGATCTATCTTTTAAAAATGTTTGTTTTATAGCTTAAAAAGAAAATGAAAGTTGGATTTGGGATATAGGACTTAGACATACAAGTATGCATGTAATTTCAAAACTTTCTCAAAATGATTTGGTTGTTGGTTTACCAAAATTGAAATATGAAAATGACAAGATTTGTGATGCATGTACTCAAGGAAAACATAGTAAAATATCTTTGAAACCTAAGAATTGTATTTCAACTATTAGACCTCTTCAACTACTTTATATTAATCTTTTTGGTCCTACTAGGACAATGAGCCTTGGTGGAAAACAATATGGTTTAATGTTAATTTGAGTGATTCTAGCATTATGCTTCATCTAGATCATGAAAGTGTTAGAGTGGTTTTGATTTCTTTGAATCATTCTAAAGATTTCTTTGTAAATATTTTTTGATGATAAGTTTTTTTTTTTTTTTGGCTTTATTGGTTGATTAATTGGAAATAAAAAAATAGTGTAAGTTGTAATATTTATTTTAGCTATGAAATTGTTGCCATGATTGCTTGACGTGTATGTTTTCATTGTAATCAAAGCAGTTAATTTATTTTTTGAGTTTGATGTTACATGTAAATAGTTATGACATGCCTGTTATGGGGATACATAAAATATGAATGTTATCAATTGACTTTCAACCTCTCATGTTATCTTTGTAACAGATATTAGTTTGTTTTTACATGCCTTGCTTATATCTGAGTGAAAGCTAGAGTATTGGGAAAATGATTGTCCTTTTGAATTGAGAAAGTCCAATTATCCTTCCAATGAAAATAATTTTTACTTGCTTTGTCATGAAGATACCTATCATATAAATGTTATCACTTGACTTTCAACCTCTTCTGTAGTTTTAAAAGCTTTTCTCTATAACAAATTTCAAGCTTCTTTTGTACATGTCTTGCCATTAACTAGCATTTTTATGGTATTCTCTTGTCATATGACCATTTACATAGTTTAGGCTTAATTGATTTAAATTTAATTTTCTTTTTCAAATTAGAAAAAATAAAGTTTTTTATTTGGGATTCTTTAATAAATAGAGTATTGAGGTCAAAATTTGGGTTGCTATTTACAACTTTTGAGCAACTTTGGTTGCTAGGTAAAAAGTTGCTTGACATAGAATGGGGTTATAATGCTTTGAATGAAAGGTATCCGAATCTGAAATCCAAATGTTGAAGTCACTATGGTTTGCAAATAACTTCAAACAGTTCAACATATCATAATGACTGGCACACCAATTCAGAACAAGCTTAATGAACTATGTTTATTATTTGTTTTTGTTTTCCAATTGGGTGTTTTGTATTTGAGGTAAAGTTTTGAGTCCTTGCATCTATTGGTGGATATGCCAATGCTTCACCATTTCAAGTATCCATAGCCAATAGGTTCATACTTTGTATCTCTAAAAACTTTAATTGGTTTTAAGAAAGCTGAAAGATGTGGAACCTTTTGTCATTTTGAGTTTCTTCATGTTAAAATCTTTGATTTTTTTCTTTATAAATGATTTCTAAATTTTAAATTATATATTGTGCATCCTTACTGACTCAATCATGCCTTATCTTCTTTGGCACATGCAAGCTAAAGCTAATGTGAATGCCTAACTGCCTAAAAAAAAGGCCAATAATTATTTGTCAGCTTTTAATCAGATTCACTTCACTTCAATTGATTGTTTCACATAATATTCTTTTCAGCAAGCACCAAAGAACGAAAGGCATTAGACATTTTTAAGGATACATGTGCAGCAATGGCTTCAACATGAGAAACCTCGAACTGAACTACGATAATTGGTGTATTTATATTTATTTTGTATTTAATACATGTAAAACATAAAAATTATTATATTATAATTCTTATTAATAAATTAAACACAAGCACTGTTTTTGGCTTTTCCAAATTGTAAGATTTTTGTTAAAATTTTTAAACCATATTATTTTTGTATATTTTTTATATCATTTTTTATTATTTTATTTTATTACATTTAAACTTATCAGGTCTACTTAAAGCTTGACTTGTTTTTTCTGTTTTGATGTCAAAACCTCAACCAGAGGTCTACTTAAAGCTTAACATGTTTTGTATGTCAAAACCTCGAAGCTGTTGTTTAGTTGGATAGCTAAGAATACAGCAGAGCTTGATATTAATACACCCAGCAGTACGTGAACCTCACACTGGTTTTGAAAATGTGTTGAGTGGCCATGAATTTGTCTTTCCTCCTAGATAGCCGTTCTCATTTGCATTTTATTTCTTTCATCTTATCTTCTAGTTTCTAAAATTTCTACTGCATTTTTTTTTATATATAATGGGATTCTCATGTGCATGTGCCTAAAGTTCTGTATTCAATCACTTAAAAGAACGTGAATCCTTCTTTTGCAGTCCTTCTCTCAATGTAAGTGTCATACATATTGAGGTGATTTATCATCCCCACCAAATTAGTCTAATGCTTATATCACCAATCTACCAGGCAAGAAAAAAAAAAACCATTGAAAAGGTAATATCTTCTAGCATTTTTCGTACATCCAAAGCCATCATAGTTAAATGTTGAGCTTATTCTTAGTATTATACCTGATGCAGGTCATTCACTTGACTTAAGGAAATTTTGGCCACCTTTTTTCCTTGCAACCACAAGTATCAAAAAACATTTCCAAGCATCCCGATAGATCAACCTACTAAGAAATTATTCTAAGCTACACGGTATATGGTTTCATAATGCTCGTTCTTGAATCAGATATCTTCTCATTTAAGCGATGTTTAGAGCCAAAAATGGATTGAAATGATTAACTATCCTCATTTACCAAAAAAGTTATTACAGATTGTCACATCTTGCCGATGCACAATGATATCACAAGTAGCATTTGACTGATAGACAAAGAGATCAACATACTATCATAGTCACAAATTAATAGTACATTACACAACTTTGTCCAATGTTCAAAATCTGATCTCAGAAGCAGACTGAATAAAAAGGCATACACAACTTACCAGCGTGGAAAGGCATCATGCAGATTCAATCTTGACGTAGAAAAAGGCACTCAAACAGATAACTCCATTTTAGAGATCAGGATACCATCAGTGTCCGCATAAAGCCACTCCCCATCACAAATTCTAGTCCCAGCAATGGTTATTGGAACATTTTTCTCCCCAATTCCTTTCTTATTGGCCTTCATTGGATGAGAATTGAGAGCTCTCACCCCAATGTCACAACCATTTATCTCATCAACATCCCTTACGCAGCCGTTAACCACTATTCCAGCCCATCCATTATTTTGAGCTTGAACTACAGGATTGCCCCCAAGTATGGCACACCTTAAGCTACCACCCCCATCTACAACCAGAACTCTGCCATTACCCTTCTCCTCAAGAAACTCACGAATCAAAACATTGTCTTCAAATACTTTAAGTGTAACTATTGGTCCAGAGAAGACTGGGCGACGGCCATATATCTGGAATATTGGTTGGAGAGCCCGAAGTTCACCGCTAACAATTAGCTGTGGATTTGCATCACAGACTTCAGCAGTTGTAACCAAAGCCATTTATTACAGACACCTTCAAGGCAAGGCAAGAATTGAAAAGCATTCAGAGTCAGAAATGAAGATATAATCACATTTTTCTTAGAAAGAAAAATAACTATGAAATACAAATGACAGAAAATAAGCCCAAAACCTGTGTTGCATGCCCAGCACAAGAATTTGTAGCCTATTGATTTCTTGACATTTATCTAAAATAAAAATTATCCTAAGATCAACATGATACTTCCTACCAGGTCCAAAAGAGCTCTCATCCACACATCGCCTTTACCAGTATCAAAAGGACATGATGACACGGTGGGAATCCCTTCCCACTAGCCATCCAGATGAAGCACATATCAATCAATTTAGATTGGAAGCGTCAAAAAGATGAAACCACGAATGTCAATTATAAACATTTAACAGAGGAACGAAGGTGATTTTTTTGAACAACCAAGTCTTAGTCATCCACATAAAGGATAAACAAGAATAGCTGACTGATACCCAACTTCTACAGTCACTGCAATTAGAAAGTTTTAAAAGATCTATGGCGAAAAACGAGATGCAGAAACACCGAAATCCAGCAAATCAAAAACCAAACCCATCTTCACATAACTAAATGGGGGAAGAACACAGCAAGACCACCAACAAATGCTGGGAAAGAAAATTGAAGCAGTAAAAAACAGATCTTAAGAACCAATATTTGGAACAAAATATATGAAAACAATTCAAATATTAGAAAACCCATTACAATTTAATAACTTAAAATTCTTAATCAAACCTTATAATCTCTAACCTTTTGCTTTCCGAAAACAATTGTTCAACAAATTTATACATGCTAAAAAATTAAAAATTTTAATCAGATCAAATAACCCAATTGAAAAGATTGAGTATTTTTTATATTAATTAAGATTAAATCAATACAATAAAAACATATTTGCATTCAAAATCAGATAACTAAAAATGGGAAAAATCAAAGGGCTAAGATTTTACCTGTCAAAGAATGAATCAAAGAGGATGCAAAGTGAAAGTTGACAGAGAGAGAGAGAGAGAGAGACAAAGAGAGTTCGTGGCTTTAAGGAAGGAAAGAGAACCTAAAGTTTGGCTGTTAAAGCGCGTGGGTGTTCTCTTTTTTCTGAATAATGTTCTCGATTTCCACTCACCAATGATGGGAGAGGAGATGGTGACCTGACAGACGTTGCTTTTCTACTGGCCGCACTCCCAATGGCATTCACATCATGACGCACCACGTCAGTTGTTCTTTTATTTTTTCTTTTTTTGAGATAAATAATCAAATAAACCATTATTATGGTTCAATTTTTATTTTTTTTATAATTTAATTTTGTTAAATTTTATTCCTTTTGATTTTATTAATTTTTAATACAAAGAATTGGAATATTGCACAAAATATATTGTTAATGCAAGTGGAAAAATTTTTTGTCAATTTTTTTTATTTTTGTTTGAAATTTAAAAAAAAATATATAGTGAAAACTTTATTGAAATTAAAATATAATGTAAAAATTTAATATTGATGTCTGATATCAACAAACTGGAATTAATCTCTTTTTAAGAAAAACTTAATTTCAAAAAATTAAATAATCAAAAATATAAAATTTTTAATATTTAATTTTTTAAATTAATTATATAATTAATATAACGCAACATGTAAGATGAAATGACAATGTTATATGCTGAATGTCAAATAACATGTCGTGCCATTTCAGTAAATTATTTGCTTTTTGTTGATTGATTGAAAACTTAAATTTCATAAAGGTTGATGATTAAATTGTAATTTTTTATAATTAAATGATTAAAATAAAAAAAATCACTTAAAACTAAATGGTTAAACATTTAATTTGCCCTATTTATTATTAAAATTTTATAACATTCCTTTTATTAAAAAGAGACAATCAGACTTCATTTTTGGATATTGAAGAAAAGATAATGAGAGAAAATTGGATTTTTTTTTTTACATGGATCGCTTTTTATTTTAAAATTATTAATTTGAAAGTTAAAATCAATATGATTAGATGATGTGAGATTCAATTAGTAAAATTGATTGCATTAAAATTTTAATGATTTATCATTTTTTTAATGTGTTTTATAGTTAATATTTACTTGTTTCTTGAGAAATCAAACAAAAATATTTATAATCGCATAAATATTCAATGTATAGATAAAAATTGACATTTTTAAACTTATTTTATATGTATTTTGATGCAAAAAAGCTATGAATGGCCAAAATTAATGTGCATATGTTCGAATACATTACATGAATGATTTTCCTACTTTTTCCTTTATAATTTTCTTAGTTTATTTGAGCTTATTTGAACTTTAATTCAAGATCTAATCTTCAGATTTTTCATGAAAAAATATTATTTTTAGGTCACTATTGCTTTGTTATATTTATGGTACTTTTACATGTGCTAATTTGGTAACTATTACATTGGTATGGTTTTGAAGTCATTTTTGAGCTAAAACTTTCTTGAATTTTTAATGAACAAATTCACAACTAAATTCCTCATTTGGCTGGAATTTAAAAAAGGAAGTTGGTTACATTTGACGCCTAAAATGAGAGTAAAGGAATCAATCCCAATAATTTGATGCATTGGTGATGATCAACGATGATTGACAACAATTCTCATGTTCAAAGAGAAAGCAAATGGGTAACTGCTTAGTTGACAATTTGGAGGCTTCTAATTGGATATAACTATGACTTTTTGGAGCTTACAAGATAAAAAAAAAAAAAAGCTTGAAATAAAGTGAAAAGAAGCAAACAAAGAAAATAAAGGAGCTTGAAGGATGACTTGGATGACTCTAGAAGATGCGGCATCTTAGTTCATATTTTCATGTAATTTTAGTAACTGAACCACCTCACTTTTAGCTTATAAATAGAAAGGTTGGCAGGCCATTTAAAGAGACTTTGCCAGATTTTTTCATTTTTTACTCTTTTGCATTTTACTTTCTTTTCTTTCCAAACAATTTTCTTTTTATTCTTTTAGAGGGTTGTTTAAGAGAAAATTGCTTTAATTTTTGAGCAAAATTTACTTTTCTTGCCTTTATTTTACATGCATTTTAAGATTCTTTTAATAAAAAGTTCAAGTTTTTTAAGATTTTCTATTCAATTTTATGCAAATTTCATTGAATCTCAAATATATTTGGTTGATTTGTGATTGAACAACTTGCGATTTTCTATTGGATCTCATTCAAATCTTGCGAGTTTTAATCCATATATTTTTCCTATGGATTCTCAGTTCATACCTTTATAAATTTGGAAAAGATCACACTCAAATTTATTCTATGAATTTTCACAAAATTCCAAAAGACTTCGGTTAGATCTAGTAGCAAAGTTGAAACTTGACTAAGTGACAGCACTTGAAGATTCTCCACTCCTAGTTAGGTGATCGGTCCACTCTTTTTCTATTTTGCACTTCTTAATTTATATGTTTTCTTGCTTAGATTCATTTGCTTGCCTTTGATTTTATGAATTTCAATACTATTTGGATGATTTTTCAGTACCTATTCTGCTTTTTCTCTTAATTGCATGCAGTTTTAAATCAAGTTCATTGAGCTTGCTTTTTATTATTTCTTGCAATTTCTTTGTTGATTTAGATAGTAATCTTGTAGATTTAGTTTACGTTAGCTCAATTCCAATTCATTTGATTCGTAAAAGTATAGATCTAATTTTTTCTCTCAAGTTTTAGCTTTTCTAGTTTGAAAATTAGTTTCGATTTTACTTGTTTTGTTGAATTTTGCGATTTTGCTTTCTAATTGCACTTTAATTGTGTTTTTGTATTTTTTTTCATTTATTGATTTTACAATTTAAAAGTTGTTTGGATCAAGTTTTAGTAAATTTCTAGAATTTTTCATTGTTGGAAGTTAAAAATAGTTAAGGTAGTTATTTTTGGTTATTGTTTCTTTGTTATTGTTTAATTGTTAATTAAGCTTGTTATTTTCGCTTTCTTAGATTAGATTTATATTCATAGCATTTTAGGTTCAAGTTAAAGCATGTTAGCTACTGTTGTAATAAAATTTTCAAGTATGCTTCCTTTGTTTTTTCAATGATGTACTTTCGATTATATGCCTTGTTTGCTTTTGGGTTGCTTTACTTGTTCATGCTAGCTTACTATTATATACCTCTTTTGATTACATCAACTTTAAATTGAGTGTGAAAATAATAGGTAGTTAGACTAAGCTTTTTTAACTAATTTCTATGAAATAATATTTTAATTTTTTATTACTATTATTATTATTTGAACAATCTGTATGTTTGCAGAAATTTTGCAATAAAAAACCATCAATAAATATAATTTTTGTTTGTTTTAAAACCCTTAGCAAAGCATTCTAGGATATGTAGCTTGGCAGATTGCAAATATGGAATGTTGTAGTGTAGCAGGTAGATAAATGTTTTTTTTTTCTTTTTTTTACAAAGGAAATAAGAGAAAGAATTATAGGTATTATGATTTGAATTTCAAACCAGCTGAATATTATTTTTTTAAAAATAAATACATCAAATAATTTAATTAAACCTCAAATACAGCAAAATGCTTGTTGTTTGCATTGCTTAACAACTGCAATTACAACTTCATAACTGTGGTTACTAATTTCAATCAAAGGAATGGGTGTGGCCAAAATGAAAGTAGTTATAAGCTAATGTGTCAAAATATGAAATTGGGCAATTAAAAATATTTCAAATATCATAGCCTTTCTAACCAATCTATCTTTATAACACTTTTTTACTACACTTTGATTTCAAACAATTTGTTTAGTTGTGTTTGGGAATTAAACTTGAAACAAAGGAATTGGGCATGTTTTCTTTATTCCAATCTCAGTACATACCCAAACTTTCATTCCAAGCTACGGTTTCTTTCACAATTTAACAAAGAGAGGTGGCTCTGGCCATGTCAATCAAGAAATAAGGTTTTTATTGAATTCAAATCTAAATCACATGCCCAGCAAGTTTCAAGATTTGACTCACAATTTAGCAACATGTAATACTGTCAGGTGGGTAAAAACATGATCTAACAACATCCAGAAACCAGCATTTTTATAACTATATGTTTCGAGCCTGCATTTATTCGGATAAACTTACCTGTAGTACCATCGTCAAGCTTTGGTAATATGCATTGCTTTTTCTCTAAGTCAACTTGTGAATGGTTTCCGTGTCACTTGCCTCCTTTAGGGTCCCTTTCTCCACATGATCCCACCACTTGAACAAGAAGTTACGCGCAACAAGTCTGAACCAAGGCGACAGTTTCAAACCTTCCTCATCAGCATCAGCTTTGCGCAATAACTCTTTCAGTTGATCACAGTTCACGTATTGAACATCCCGCTATCTCGTCAGGATTTGGATGAACGTTAACATCTCGGACAATCAATAGGAGGTAATCAACTGCAACATAATAAATGCACAAGGCAACAATTTAGGAGACAGGAATAGCAGTAAGTGATAGGTTCATGCAATATCCAACAAACCAGGCCAAGAAATAGATATCAGACAATATCTATAACACCGGCCATTGAAATGTATGATTTGTAAATTATAATAACTTTCCCTTGAATGTAGATTTCAAACTTTTTGCAAATATTCAAAAATAATGCTGAAATTTATGCAAACAAATTGGAATTATTACGTTCATGCTCGCCCCACTTGCCATCAGAAGGTGCCTTGCAGAGCATGCGACTCTGCGGGATGAACTGATTAACATGAACATCTTCAGCAGGAATACCCAGCTCATCCAAAAGCTTCCTTCGTGCAGCATTCCTCACCCCTCGTAAGCATATAATAAGAAAAGGAAATAGGAAAATATCATCAGCACCGGTAACTGAGAAAATCCTGTAATAAATTGAGACAGGTGTAAAAGTTTTATGCCAAGAAAATTCTCCACAATAAGCTCGGATTCACGGAACAAAGGATGGCTGCAACAGGTGTTTGTCCATACAAGAGGAAACGTTACCTTTGTTGCAGATCGTTGCTGCCAAAAACCAGACAAAAAAGGCATGTGAACAAAACTTTCCACAACACCTATTTACAAAGCATAACTATGGGCATACGCTATGATTAATATGATAACAAGTACATATTTTGAATTGGCACAAACAAGAAGAAAATATAATGCCACATCATTCAAAGTTGATACATGCAACATATTCAATGCCGCATCCG